AGCGCCAAATCGCTGTATAAATCTGTGGACAATCGTGCTTGACCTCTAAGAGCCAAATGCTGAAGGATGGCACTGGGCAGCCGAAATCAATCCACCAGCGGCAACAGTGCGTTAGCCGCAGAACAACAACGAAGAGCGGCTCAAGCAGAAATTGCCAAGATTATCCATGGAAACGAACACCATCAGGGGTGATGCCGAAAATCGGCTCAAATGGAGAGTTCCGAGAGAGCAATACTCTAACTTTTGTAGGCGAAGCTGGCGCAGCGCAGAACGTGCGGCCTTCGGCAACCGACGAGCGCGACGAATTGGCCGCTACAGCCGGCAGAATGCCAATATCCACCAGTGCCGAATCAATTGCATGCAACGCACCGCTCAAGGATATCTCTGAAAAACATACATGTTAAGGGAGCATCGCCCGTGCCGCCGAAACGCTTTGCCTGCACGCTCCACGCATCGTCATGACGTCTCCTACAATGCTAGCAGCACCCTCCCTCCTCCGCCTATCAATGAAGGCCGCATCGATCACTGTACAGGTGCCAACTCCCACCTCCCCTCTAATTACCACTACCCAACGAATCTGGCGTTAGTTCGTGGTCCTCCACTTCACATTCTTTCACCTTATTTGCATCGTTCCCCGTACCCATCTCAACCTGAACCACTGCCCGAGCAAGGGTTTATGAATGCAGAAAGTAATCCAAGGGAAAGGGGGGGAGGGGGGAAGTACAGGCTTTTACGAAGTTTCTTCAAACAATCTCATGCTGGTGTATCAGCACCAAGCTTATAAGAGCCGAGCGGGCGTTTATACATCTACATGACGGGATTACTTGGTAATTTGAGCAGATGTGCACGTCGGGAACCGCTTGAATTCCGTGAGCCGCATGAGGCGCACTGAGTTGCCGAGTCATCGTTTAACAGCGAACAGTACGCACACGTCCAAGCGCCCATCACGTCACCACGAGTTGCTACCGCATCGACAAAACATATTCGAAAACCTGAACACAATCAAACCGTACAGCGCGAACCGAACAATTCATGTACGCATAAAGACCCGACACAGAAAGAGCAAAAAAACAATATTCGAAACGTGCCCCACCCATCCGCAGACCACGGAAGGCTGAATGGGCACCCAACCACTTTAGCAATTCCCATACAGCAATTGCAAAAACTCGGCTCGGATCGTCTCGTCTCATACACAAGCTGCAAAAAATTTTTTCTTCCGACGGCGGGTAGAGCTGCCCCACGACGGCTGGCAGCAGTTTGGATGTGGCAGTTGGAAGTGGGGATTGTTTGCGGCAGGTTATGTTTGAGGCAGGGAAGGATAGGTGGATATACGGACCAAATGGCGTAGATCCTTTACCGATTGATTAACTAACGTACATTTGGAGGGGAAAGGGGAGCGGTGAAGAATGGAAAGGAAGAGGATGTGTGCTTCTGGTTATACGGTTTTGCCGCTGCAACAGGCAGCAAAAACGCATATTGCAACGACCCTGTCAGAGTGTGTGTGTGTGTATATATGCTTGCGTGTATGTGTATGTTTGTGTGTGTGTGTGCACGTCTGTTCGGGTATTTCAACTTGCCAACTACGCAAGCTTTGAAGCTGAAATTTTGCCAGTATGTACCCCAGCCGATTGCCACCCCAGGACCGCGGTGTCAACTCTCACGCACGTCTGAGCCCCGCGTACGAGTACGTGGAAGTTTTGGTGGGAAAATTGCTAACTCCGGAACGAGAAAAGCTAGAAAGTTCAAACCATAGAGTAATGCCCCCTACCCGTGTATGACAAAAAGATTTCAAATTCAGCTACCCAGGACTGCCCGGGGCTTACGTACGGCCACGTGGAAATTATGGCGGGAAAATTCATAACTCGGGAATGAGAAAAGCTAGAAAGTTGAGAATTTGGAGGAATGTTCCCCACTCAAGTACGGCCCAAAGTTTTCTAACTCAGCTCCTTAAGACCGTCCAGGACTCACGTACGGGCATGTGAAAATTTTTGGCGCGAATATTACTAACTCGGGAACGGGAAAAGCTAGAAAACTGAAACTTTAGGGGAGTGTTTCCTACTCATGCACTACCGAAATCAGGTGTTTGGAAGCACCCGGGGCTCACGTAAGGCAAGTGGAAGTTTTGGCGCGAAAATCACTCACCTGGAAACGACAAAAGCTAGGAAGCTGCAACTTTAGGGTAATGTCCTCTACTCATATAAGACCAAAAGATTTCAAATTCAGCTCCTTAAAACCGTCCGGTACTCACGTACGGACATGTGAAAATTTTGGTGGGATAACTGCTAACTCGGGAACGGGGAAAGCTGAAGGCTCTAATTTTAAGGGAATGCCAAATTTAACTCTTCTAGTGCAGCCTTTTTCGCAGACCAGCAACTTTTCATTTGTCGAGTCACTGAAGCCAACATCTACAACTGACATACCACATAGCTGCACAATTAACTTCCCTAACTTCGAGGGCAAGTATGTCGCAGGGTTAGCTACTGTGATTCCTTGCGATCTTCCTACGGCACGAAAAGTGCAAAAACGCATGATCGTACCGGCCAGCCTGGTGCGTTCCAGCCAAGGTTGTAAGACAAATCCTACTCGCAGAAACTCATTTATGCGTTTTTGCCGTGCTGCGTTAAAGCGCTGCAATAGGCAGCAAAAACGCATATTGCAAGAACCCTGTCAATGTGTGTGTGTGTGTGTGTGTGTGTGTGCGTGTGTGTGCGTGTGTGTGTATTTTTGTGTGTGTGTTCGTCTGTCCGGGCATTTCAATTCGCCAACTACGCAAGCTTTGAAGCTGAAATTTTGCCAGTATGTTCCCCAGCCAAGTGCCACTCTAGGATCGCGGTATCGACTCTCACGCACGTCAGAGCCTCGTGTACGAGCACGTGAAAGTTTTGGCGAGAAAATTGCTGACTCGGAAACGAGAAAAGCTAGAAAGCTGAAACCATACGGAGATGTTCCCTACTCGTGTATGATAAAAAGGCTTCAAATTTAGCTGCCCAGGGCTGCCCGGGACTTACGCACGAGCACGTAAAAATTGTGGCGGGAAAATTCATAACTCGGGAATGAGAAAAGTTAGAAAGCTGAATCTTTATGGCAATGTTCCTTACTCATGTGCGAGCAGAATCAAGCGTTTAGAAGCGCCCGGACCCATCAACGAGCGCGTGGAAGTTTTGGCGGGAGAATCACTAGCCCACGAACGGGAAAAGCTAGAAAACTGAAACTTTGGGGCAATGTTCCCTACTCCTGTACAAGCAAAATCAGGTGTTTAGAAGTACCGGGGCTCACACACGGGCATGTGGAAATTTTGGCGCAAAAATTACTAACCCCGGAACGGGAAGAGCTAGAAAACTGAAACTTTAGGGGAGTGTTTCCCACTCATGTACTACCGAAATCAGGTGTTTGGAAGCACCCGGGGCTCACGTAAGGCACGTGGAGGTTTTGGCGCGAAAATCACTCACCCGGGAACGACAAAAGCTAGGAAGCTGAAACTTTAGGGTAATGTCCCCTACTGATATATGACCAAAAGATTTCAAATTCAGCTCCTTAAAACCGTCCGGCACTCACGTACGGACACGTGAAAATTTTGATGGGAAAACTGCCAACTTAGGAACAGGAAAAGTTGAAGGTTTTAATTTTAAAGGAATGTTCCCTACTCATGTGCGACTAAAAGATTTCAAATTTAACTCTTCTAGCCCGGCCTTTTTCGCGGACTAGCAGTTTTCCATTTGTCGGGTCACTGAAGTCGACGTCTACAACTGACACACCACATAGCTGCACAATTAACTTCCTGAACTTCGAGGGCCAAGTATGTCACAGGGTTAGCTACTGTGATTCCTTGCGGTCTTGCTACGGCACAAAAAGTACAAAAACGCATAATCGCACCGGCCCGCCTGGTGCGTTTCAGCCTGTGCTTTTGTTTGCTTTTGCTTTTGGTTACAGGCTGCAATTCTTTGATTTTACTTTTATTTCTTTTATTCACAAATTCAGCTTTGTTTTAATTTACTTTTCTTTGTGGTGCCGTGTTGGTTTATCCTCCTCTTTAT